AGAGAGAGAGAGAGAGAGAGAGAGAGAGAGAGAGTGCAGTGTTTCTCTACTGGAGGGTCTGCTGTCTGAACGCACAGCCGCTGAACTACACCTCCAGGCCGACCAGCGACCGGCCGCCGCCGCGCTCCCCGCATGGAGGACTCTTTCTCCGGGTAAACACCCGCTCAGGCCGCCGCTGATCTCCGCTTAAGGGCCAGATCTGATTTCCGACTTCATTTATTGAGGGAACAGCAGCGATGGAGGTCAGATTCGGGCATAAACTTAACAGAGATCAAACTTTGGCTTGTGTTTTAACTTTGTGAATGCTAATGCCTCGCGTTGTGATGGGAAACTTGCTTTTGTTGAGTGTACACATGTGGCAGTGGAGGAATGCAGGTGGAATGTGCTTTTGGGAGAGGAGTGTGTGTGTGTGTGTGTGACTAGTGTGTGTGTGTGTGTGTGTGTGTGTGTTTAATGCAGAACGATGATTATGGTCATGATAGTTATGTTTATGATGATTATAGCACATCACCAACACTCTTACAGCACATTTCAGAGCAAACACAGCTTTTAAAAAGGAAAATAACCTCATTAATACAAATACTAGTGTGTTTAAAGTATCCAGATCTGCTTTATTTAACTTAAAACTGCATATTTATGTACAGTGCATCGTTATATGCGAGTGCAGTGAGCAGTCTGGAATATAATATTGTCCATGTGTAATAATATTGTTGTTTATATGTGAGTTGAAGGGCTGTGAAACACAGTATGTGGGATTTGGAGGTGTGTGTTTGGGTGTTCTCCGGCTGCTGTGGGTTGTGTGTGAATGCAGTGGATTGTGTGTTGAATCCTCAGCGCGGTGGATTTGTTCATTAAACCGGATGTCATTATTAATAACTCATGAACAGACACACACTCATGACCGACTAGCTAACTAACTAGTGTGTGTGTGTGTTCAGGGATTGATTGTGTGTTTGTAGCTTTAAGGTTATTCAGGCGATGATGACTAAACTGGAGAAAGGAAGTTTGGTTTGAGGGGAGAGAGAGAGAGTGTGTGTGTGTGTGTGTGTAGCCACGTGTTTCTGTGTGTGCGTGTGATAGAGAGAAAGTGTGCAATGCATGTCTGTAAATGTGTGTGTGTGTGTGTGTGTGTTTATGTATGTATGTATGTGAGAGTGT